CGGTTTCAGCGTTTGCAGACATCTGAGAAGTCAGTCCAGATAACAGGAAAATACAAAGGCTGTTTTCAGGAGCTAACGGTGCAGCCTGCCTTCATGTGCTGCTGAGTGGAAGTGGGTGCAGACGGCTGCTGGCCAGTGGCCCGCAGGCCAGGGCGGCTCCTCCCTCGGCTCCCCCAGCCTGCTCTGGGGCCTCACAGGAGCGCCTCACTGGAGCTGCTCCCCACCTGTCTACCCAGCCCCCACCCACGGAGGGAGCCGCCCACTCCGCTCTCAGCACCTAAACCCGCCCTCTGAGCTCCCAGTTTCTCTCAGTTCTCTGCAAAACAGCTGAACTAGACGTTCGGGAAACACAGTAGGATCCAGCAACTGCCAGAAAAGGGTACACTTACGATGGGTCCCCAGGAACTAGTGCGTGACCAGCGCAGGAATGTACTTTAAATCTGATTTTCTTTTGCACCAACATAACACAGTCAGTATGTCCAGCCTGATAAGTTCGTGTAATAGCCATCGTTAATCACGGCCTGACATCGCACATGAATGCACACACACCAGAGCCGGCTCCTGCACTGGAAGCTAGAAGCTCTCGGTAGTAATTCAGAGCATGTGGCTCTTAATGTATTTATCTAGCTGAAATGTAATATTCCAACCAGATCACCTCAGACCTCTACAATCTGTCAGAATTGTTATGGCCAAGGAAAGCAGAACTGGGTGCTTTCCGGGGGTCTGCCCCCCACCGGGTGAGGTGGACCCCAGCACTAGACCTGGCACCAGGGTCCCAGAGCCGGCCCTGAGTGCTGCTTGTCCCCAGCTCCTGAGCACAGACATGGGGAAGCACTTACCCCCTCAGCCCCAAATTACTCGGATCCAGCGCCCCACTCAAAAGGTGGCCAGGGTGTGGCCAGCCTTTCCGAAGCACACTGAGTGCGGCCACTGCTGGAGTGACTCACCTGCTGCTCCTGGCAAGCATCTGTTTCACTCGATGACCCTCCTTCCAAATTCATCTTACAACAAGACAGCTTCTGTCCTGCGCCAGGCACCCAGATCTAAAGCGCACCCTCCAGCACCATGGCAAGCCTGTGCGTGTCAGCAAAGTTCGGGCGTCTCCGCAGGGTTCCATGTGCTCCTTCGTCACCCATAGCAACAGGACACGGAGGAAGCTGTGGTCGACCGGGGACTCAGACTCGATCCCGATCGTCTCACACACAGAAAACAAGCCGTTTATATAAATCACGCTGTGAGATCATTTTTAAAGTATTTCCTCTACCAAATCACAAGAATAACACTTCAGCTGATAGGGGTAATCGCTCAGTCAGCACAGCAGCTGCAGGGAATTTGTTTTGAGCAGCGCGGTGCGGTTCGCAACCTTAATTACAGTTGCACAGAGCTATTCTGGGCCGGCTCCATCTGCACACGCCCCCTCCGTGGCAGCCAGCAGGACCTGGCACGGTTCTGAAAGCCTATATGCTGTCCACGGCACCTGAAGGGCCTGGCGGGGGGGGGAGCCCACCGCGGGAGAGGCAACACCCAGCGCCGCACAGCCAACCCAGCCAGGGGGGGGGGGGGGGGAGCACCGAGAGAGTCCCAGCTTTCAAAAGGCAGAGGGAAAGAGAAGACAGTGGCTTCTAGAGCCTGGGGTTCCTTGACCCCTTTGAACGTCAGAGACCCTGGGCGCTACCGGCACCCTTGCTGCACTGGGGAGCCAGGGCCTTTTGAGGGGCTCTGGGGACTCCAGACTGCCGGGAGACCACCAGCTGGCACCACACTGGGCTCTTCTGAGGGAGAACTGCCCGATCCCGAGCCAGAGAACCCAGAAGCAAATCCCACAGGGTGGTGTGGGCTGATTCACACTGTGACAGGCAGTGGCCTCCTGCCAGGGTACAGGCCACTGAGAGCCCAGCCCCGGGACATCCGGCGCATTTCCTGGCCAGCAAGGCTCTGAATGAGGAGCCACAGCACTGCCCGACACTGAGGGCCAGGAGCACAGTCCCAGCCCACAGGCCTTCCGCCCCCTCACCCTCCTGTGGGCACCCTGGAGTTACCAATGCCCTATGAAGCTCAGAAGCTGTCTGAGCACAAAAAACCCTCCATCCATGCTCCATGTGGGCTTGGGTGCAGTCATGCCACCGCCTGACCAGCGAGAGAACAATTACCTCCCTGACACCTGCTGCGGCTGGAGGAACCAGGGGCCTCAGAAGCCGGGGGTATGGGCAAAGGGTGCAGCCAGAGTGCATGGAGCAGAGGAAATGACAGCCTGCCCTCGGAAGGAAGCCGAGCCTGCGGTAGTGAGGGGCCGCTCCTGGATGCCCTACGGGCAGGACAGGCCTCCAAGTGCCCAGACCCAGGTCTCCCCATCCTGCATAGCCTCAAAGAGAGGTCCCCATGCCCCACCTGACCAGGCCTCCTGGGACTGCACTATGGAGGCCAGAGGGCCCCTAGCGACAGGACACAGGCTTCCTCTGGGCCCCCACACAGGAGCTGCAGGAAGCAGCTGATCCACCTTCCCCTCCTCATTCTGTGCCCTGCCAGAGCCTGCACATGAGGTGTTGCTGGAGGAGGGATCTCCACTGCTGACCCCAGAGCTGCCCAGGAGATGCCGTGCACAGATTGGCATGCGAGAACCCAGCTTTTCTTGCTCTTAAGCCCGGGAAGCCTCTGGCAGGCAGGCCGTGGTCCCCTAAGCTCTTCCAGTAGGGTCTCCTCACCTCCCACCTACCACCCCAGATCAAGCAGCACCAGCCAAACAACTGGAGAGAGAGAAGCCAGGCAATCCCATACCCCAGCTCCTCGGGACACCCCCAGCACCTGCTAGCCTCCTCCTCGGGCTTCCTGCAGCAGCCTGACCAGGCCAGCACCATGGGGCCAGGGCGGCTTCTGTCCAGGCTATGACCCCAAATCACAATCATACAGGTGTCCAGTTGTGGCCTTCCACTGAGTGGGAATCCTGCCACATGCCACTGTATGCACAAGGCCCCACAAGCAGCTTAGGGAGTCCAGTGTACAGAACTAGTAAAGCCGTCTACATGAAATTCTCCCAGGAACACAAAAGCAGGCTCCTTTGGGATGCACGCACTACTCCTCCCTGGAAAAGGCACCGCAGATCACCCTGAGTCCCAGAAAAGAGCGGGAGCCCCAAGGGAAGGAACCAGCTCGGCCAGGTGGCAGTGAGGTCCCAGCCCACGTCTGGTCTTGGAGCTACTCAGGTCCTGTCCCCTGTGGGCTGGGGACTGTGCCACTGACAGGCAAGAAGAACACACCAGCTCTCAGCTGGCCGCAAAGCAACCCAGGGAGGACACCCTGTCTCCAGCCCAGGAGCCCACCCACTCCTGCGTGAAGGTGCTCGGGCGCCCCCTGCTGTCTGCTGCCTACCACTGCATTTGGGCATGGGGGCACAGCCACACAGCTGCTCTCAGGACACGGCAGGCACCACCATCCCATGACAGCGATGGAAATCATAAACCAGGAAAGCCCCAGGGGTGACGAGGGCTGTGGGTGCCAGTTGGGCAGGCAGATCGGATAGGAGCCAGGCTGTGGACAGGCCAGCCTCGGACCGGCGGACTTCGGGCACGGCTGCAAATTTCCGGGCGAGCACACAGATCTGTCTAGTCAGAAGGGTTCCTGTCCACTTCATAGTACCAGACAAAACTCAAAAACATCACATGTCTTGTTCCAGATGACGTGGTCAGGGCAAGTCAAAGACTCCACATCCCAAGCTTGGAGGACACAGCAGGGCCTCACTCCGACCACCCCCAGCCCTCACCCTGCACCCCACTACCCTGCGCCCTGCACCTTCCTCGCTCCTGCAGGACCCCCAGCTCAGGCTGTGCTCAGCCACAGCCCAGCAAGGCCACACCTCACTGCCTCTGCCCCCAGCAGGTGAAGTTGTGGCCTACACCACCTCCTAGCAACAGCGACAGCACAGCGCAGCACTGCAGCCGGCCCACATGGCTGAAGGGCCAAACCATGTGCAGCCCTGCTGTGCCCCCAGAGTTAGCCCGGGACCAAGCATCGGGGCAGCTGGAAGCCTACGCCCATCCCACCACCGCCTGGCCCTGCCTCCTCCCAGAAAACCCACACCAGTCACCTGCATGTGCCCAAACGCCTGTGACATGCCCCGAGTGCTGCTCATACAGAGCAGACAACTCTGTGCTGTGCTGGCGACGGAGCGCATGGAGCAAGAACAGCGGCTGCGCGCCACGGGCACCACCCCTCTCACTCTAGTGAGGCAGTGCAGCACACAGCATCTGCTGGGACCTCAGACACAGAGGGGGCAGCAGGAGGCCGGCGGGCACAGGGGCGGAGCAGGAGTGGCGCACAGGTCTTCAGCGTGATGCTGCAGGGCAGGGCCACGCTGCTCGACACGCAGGTCACCTCTACTAGGGGCAGCACAGCAGAAGTCCCGAGTGGCGAATTCACACCTGCTGTGATGATGCTGACAGCAAAAGTGTGGGGACAAGGGAGGCACAGAGGCGGCTTTGGGCTCAAGCTTTCTATAAACCTAAACTGCTTAAAAAATAAAATCTACTCTTCAAACAAAAGAAACAGAAGAAAGAACAGCACAAGGCGATCCCCTCAGGGTCAAGCCCTACCCTTGGGAAGGCTCTTGCAGGGCAGCTTCCAGGGCTGCCAGAGTCCCACGTTCAGCAGCGTCCCTAGCAGCGGCACGGGTCTCAGACAGGGCAAAGGGCAAAGAGGGGCACACAGTGCCAGGAAGCCCAGGGTACCCGAGCAGCCCATAGGCTGCGTGCATCTTTAAACAGAAGGAACAGGGCTGGTGAGATGGCTCAGTGGTCTAAAGCACCTACTTAGAACAAGCTAAGCTAAGCAAAAGGACAGCGACCATGGTTCAATCCCCAGCACCCCATGCCAGCCAGCCCGCCCCCTGGTGGGCTGAGCTGGCCACACACACACACACACACACACACACAATAAATAAATAAATTTAAAAAAATAAATAAATAAAATAAATAAATAAACAGAAGGAACAACCGGCACGGACCTACCTCAAGGTCGTCGAGAGAGCGGGTGATGCTGAACCTTTTGGACCTTCCAAAGGATCTCCGGGCAGAGGTGCGCTGAGATGTCTGCACAAGCCCAACTCCCCGCCCGAACTTGGAGCCCTAAACAGGAATAAAAAGAGGTGTCAGGGAGAAGGCCTGTCTGCCCGACCTTCAGCAAAGCTGCTACCATGTTCTCTCGGGCGAACGTCGTTGGGCTGTCGGCCTGGGCCTTGCAGCCACAATGGATTCAAGTCCGAAATATGGCAACCTTGAAAGATATTACCAGGCGACTAAAGTCAATCAAAAACATCCAGAAAATTACCAAGTCTATGAAAATGGTAGCAGCAGCAAAATATGCCCGAGCTGAGAGGGAGCTGAAACCGCCTCGAATATATGGAATAGGATCTTTTGCTCTATATGAAAAAGCTGATATTAAGGTACCTGAAGACAAAAAGAAACACCTTCTCATTGGTGTATCCTCAGATCGAGGACTTTGCGGTGCTATTCATTCCTCAGTTGCTAAACAGAGAAGGAATGAGGTGGCCACACTCACGGCAGCTGGAAAAGAGGTCATGCTGGTTGGAATTGGTGATAAAATTAGGGGCATACTTTCCAGGACTCATTCTGACCAGTTTCTGGTGACCTTCAAGGATGTAGGAAGAAAGCCCCCTACTTTTGGAGATGCGTCCGTCATTGCTCTCGAATTACTCAATTCTGGATATGAGTTTGATGAGGGCTCTGTCATCCTTAATCGATTCAGGTCTGTTATCTCTTATAAAACAGAAGAAAAGCCCATCTTTTCTCTAAATACCATTGCAAATGCTGAGAGCATGAGCATCTATGATGACATTGATGCTGATGTGCTGCAGAATTACCAAGAGTACAACCTGGCCAATATCATCTCCTACTCCTTGAAGGAATCCACCACCAGTGAGCAAAGCGCTAGAGTGACGGCGATGGACAATACCAGCAAGAATGCTTCTGAGATGATTGATAAATTGACTTTGACATTCAATCGTACTCGCCAAGCCGTCATCACCAAAGAGTTGATTGAAATCATCTCTGGTGCAGCAGCTCTGGATTAATGAAAATCAAGTTCCATCCTTACACAAGAGGTAAAGAAGAAAAATTCAGCAAGCTGATTTTGTTTAGAGCTTATTACTGTCTTTGTCAGAAGAAATGTGGTCCATTGTTTGAATTACTACAGATAGAAAGATGTTTATAAATACCTTACAATAAACAACTTACAATAAGAAAAAAAAAAAAAAGAGGTGTCAGGTTGTCCTCTCAGAAGTCTCCAAAGTGCGGCCCCACAGGCCATCTCAGAGGGGTTTCTCTGTTAGGTGGATTTGCACAACAAAAAAGTGCAAAACTAAGGGCCAGCCAGATAGCTCAGCGGACTAAAGCACCTGCTTTGGAAGGCACAGGGCTGGGGTTCAATCTCTGGCGTACCATGCAGCCCTGCCCCCGGGTGTGCTGAGATGGCAAATGAGACCAGGCGTGGTGGCACACACCTGTAATCCCAGCACTTGGGAGGCTGAAAACAGGAGGCTCACTATGAGTCTAATCTGTGTAGTGAGGCCCTGTACACCCTGTACTAAATACACTTTTTAAAAAGTGCAAAACTAGGGACCAGGGAGATGGCTCAGTGGAATAAGCGCTTCCCTGGCAAGCACAAGGGCCTGAGTTCAATTCCCAGTTCCAGAAAAAAAAAAAAAAAAAAGTGCAAAACTAAAAAATAGGAGTCACCCAACTATCTGGGCACTATGCTGCCACTTACCCTGTGCCCAGGCTGTGCCTCCCAGCTCCCCCTTGAACCCAAAAGCCACAAGCAGCTGGCTCAAAGGGCTGGAACCAGAGCCTAAGGGGTGGCAGCTGGCTGTGCTGCGGCACGGGAAGGTGACCCTCATGATGGCAGGGGCTGCTCTGTTTTTCTCCACAACTCTATCAGCCTTTTGGAAAATAACCCCTAAACATCGCCCTGGCGTCTGAATTCGAAATCAGCTCTGACAGGACATAACTGGCCAGAGACACCACGTGGTGCTTCCTCCTGGAAGTGATAGACTCAGCCGCACTCCCAGCACGCGGCTCAAGGATGAGGACCATGGGCTGTGGAGCCAGGTCCTAGCGTGAGCGCCTCACCCAGGGCTCTCCAGCTCTCTCCACCCACAGAACGACCTCAGGCGTTATGCGGACATCTGCAGTGATTCCCTGATGGCTCTCGGGCAAAAGCTGGGCTCTGAAACCACACCAGAGTGACATCCACAGTCTTGCCCCCTCACCCTACTGGTGACAGAGACCACAGCAAAGAAGTGACAGTGGCACTCGGGTTCCATTAGTGCCGCTGTGGCCCATGCCTCCCCACCCCCAAGCCCTGAGCCCCGAGCCATGTGCAGCCCCCAGAGCCCACACTCCCAGGGCCTCCTGCTCACCTCAGTGCCAGGCCCCCCACCAGCCTCTCCTCCCACCCTCCCACCAGCATCTGGCTCCTGTCAGGCAGCCAGCCCCGCCCAGCCCGGCCCCCACACAACCTGCATCCGCTGTAAAATCCTCACTGTGCTCAGGCCAGCTGCAGAGCTGAGGAATAGCATGGGCACAGTGGCCACACTGTAGGGGCTGCTGAGAGAGGTTGGCAGGGTGAGGCTCTTAAGGTACTAGGAGCTGCACCTGGGCTGCAGAAGGGGACTGTCACATGGGCAGAGTGAGAGCACAGCCTGAAGCTGGGAGGACACACAGGAAGCTTCTCAGCCCCGCCCACAGAGCCCCACCCACTGAGAGCCGCATTCCGAGCTGCTCAGGGGCACGCTGGGCCAGCATTCCTTGCCCACCACATCGCCCACTAACTGTGGCCAAAGGCAGAGGGGTGCTGCCCATGGGCCTGTCCTCTGTGGACCAGCACATGCCAGCTCCACAGTGACCCAGGGCAGGAGGGACACGCAGGGTGCCAGCGGCTGACTGCCTCCCCCATGGCCTGTACAAGGTAGAGAGGATGGCGATGGCTCCCTGCATGGGGAGCACCCACAGGTAGGCCCTGCTGGGAGCCCGACGCAGAGAAAGCAGGACTATGCTGTCACCATCCAGGGAGCAAGAGGCCCAGCGCCCGCCCAGCACTGCTACTGCCTCGCGTGCCAGGGACACGTGGGAGCAGTGCCCCACTGTGCCACAGCCAGGCTCAGGGGCTTAAAGGCTGTCCTCTGGGAGCCCACGGCAAATCCCACGGCCTCCCAAGCAGAGAATGTGTGAAGAAAGATGGCCAGGGCCAGGGCTAGCAGGGAGCGACCACCATGGGACACCAGGCCTCAGACCACTCAAGCCCTGGCTCAAGCCAAGGCACCAGAAAGGAAGACCTCTCAGTCCCAAGCCTGGGAGGCCAGCGCTGGCCCGGGGTGACGAGCGGGGACAGTGCACTGGCAGCTCTAGGTCAGGACAAGGAATCCTCTCTGTGGGCAGCTCGCAGCAGCAGGCATCCAGGTCACCACAAGGGGATTTGCCGCGACACCCAGGAGACCGACCCCGTGCATGCAGCGCCTCAGTCTGGCCACTCAGGCGGCACTCGGGGTCCACACGCAGGTCCCCGCCCTCTCGGCAGACCCGCTCGCCAGGGTGCCTCTCTGCACACTATTTTCCACTCAGATTTTTACTTTTTGGTACTGGGGATCGAACTCAGGACCTTGTGCATGCCAGGCAGGCACTTATGCCACTGACCTATCTCTTCAGCTCCGGGGTGCCTCTCTGGGTCCCTTGCTAGCCATGGTGCAGATGACAGAGTGGAAATCACTTGTCTGAGAAACTTATTTTGAAAACCACACCCAAAGCTGCAGCGGCTATACCCTACCTAGAGCCAGAGGTCCCTTTCTAGGCCACAGCAGCCTGGCTGGAGGGCCTGTGCCTGGGACCGGTCTCCTCGTTCTCCCTGCCCGCACCCCTGGGGTTCTGGCTTGAGCCCATGACTCCCTTGGACTCCCCTTGTGCCCTGAACCTCAGTGCCCCTCCAGACGACATGCTCAAGCCCTGGTCTAGAAAAGATTCCGGAGCCCTGTCCTCGCCTCTTCCTGTCGTCCTACACACGGAACTGTGAGCTGAGTCGGGGGCAGCAAGAGGGGACAGATGGACAGATGGACGGGTGAGCAAGCGCAGAGCCCAGGCGAGGCACTGGTTAATGTCTGCTTGCACCCAGGACTCGTGCCAGCCAAGAGCAAGCGAGAGGGTGCCCAGCGGGGCCTGCACAGCCATGGGGTCAAGCTGGAGCTGAGCGCAGGGCACACTCCCACGGGAGTCGGGACAAATGACAATAGGAACACTATGCAGTCTCCCAGAGCCCTACAAGGCACTTACTCTCAGCTATTTCCTGCACGTGACTTGCGCTTGCCAGGCGCGCGCTTACGCCCGCGCGCTCTCTCCGCTGCCCAAATGTTTCGGTTCTTAACCCCCGTGACTACACGGGAACCCTGCGCAGGCGGCCTGGCCGCGCCCCCACAGGAAGGAGAAACGCAGCCGTCCGCGCTGCGTAAGGAAGGGACCAGGAGCGGCCAGAAAAGCACTCCCCACTCCCGCAGAGAACTAACAGTCTGGGGAACAGACGCTGATTTCAGTTTACTCAGCAAGGACACCTTCAGCGTCCGCTTCTCAACCCGACGGTCCTCCGCCCCCTTGCGGACAGCACAAAAGGACGCGGTGTGCTCCTGGCGCCCCCTGCTGGCCCGCCGCGCGTGCCGGGGAGCCGCGAGCAGGCGCGGCGAGGGGCGCGGGCTCCCGGGCCCACGCGCCAGCCTTCCTCCGCCGCTGCAGCAGATGGACTCAGCTCAGCGCCCTGCAAGGCGCAACGCCAGGCACAGAGGTTGCGGCCGAGTCTGCGCCTGGGCAGCCCGCTTCTGGGGCCACCACCTGCCAGGGTCTGCACCAGCGCTCCCAGGGCCGGCGTGTCTCGTGCGTCCCCTACAGATGAGGCGAGGGGTGGAGCCCCCACCGCTGGAGAGGGGGAGGAGGGACTCCAGTCCGCTGACCCCTGCTCCCCGCCCAGGCGCTGACCACTCGGCCCCACTGTCACAGAACAGGCCAATCGCGGGAGAAACTGCACAGAGGAGGTTTAGCAGGCAGTTTGTTACACTGGTTGGCTTCTA